ACACACACACACACACACACACCATGGGGCCCCACACCGTGGATGAGGCTCACACACACACACACACACATACCACGGGGCCCCACACCGTGGATGAGGCTCACACACACACACACACACCATGGGGCCCCACACTGTGGTTGAGGCTCACACACACACACACACACACACACACACCCCACGGGGCCCCACACTGTGGTTGAGGCTCACACACACACACACACACACACACACCACGAGGTCCCATACTGTGGATGAGGCTCACCTGGCTATCCAAGCCAAGCGTCAGAAGCATGAAGAAGAAGAGGAAAGACCAGAAGGGCGATAGAGGCAGCATGGTCATGGCCTGCGGGTAGACTACAAAGGCCAGGCCGGGGCCTGGGCCAAGAGCACACGAGGTCAGCAGCTTGGGGCATGCAGCGACCCCACAGACCCCCGCCCTACACACACACACACACACACACACACACACACACACACGCAGGGACATGCACCAAATGTACGCTTCTAAGGCAGTCCTAACCTCGAGGGTATGGGTCAGCCCAGGTGTGCAATAAATATAAATTAATACATAACTGACTTAATAATGATTGCATGAATAAACATACTCTCCAAATATAAAAACTTATTAGATCACTTATGTGTACATAACTGATGGTACAAAGAATTCCACTAAAACTTACTTATTGACATCCACTGGCCCAAGTCACACTGATTCACAAGACTGTTCTCACCCTGACTCACTCTCACTTGCACACATGTGGCCTACCACAGGCACAAGAGATAAGACTGTCTCCACGGACTCACCTGCAGACACAAAGTAATGCATGCAGCACTGCCTTGCACACCTGTCCGTTCATATGCGGACACCCAGGAACCGGCTATGACATGTTCACTTGCACGCACAGGAATTGGAAAGCTCTTGCAAGACACACAACATGCCCCATACCCACTGACAATCTCCCTGGTCTGCACACATGCTCCCAGCTCTGGCCAACGTACCCTCACACCAGACCCTGGCAACCTGCCCACCTGCTTTCGCTACTTGGTCCACAGGCACGCCCAGCTCCTGCGACATGTAGCCCAGCACAGAGAAGATGGCAAAGCCAGCCAGGATGCTGGTGATGGCATTGCCCAGAGTGACGATGAAGGTGTCTCTGCCAGGAGAAGTCCGGGCACAGGCCAGGGTGAGAAGGCCATGCCCTCCCCCAAAAGGCCCTCCCTGGCCAGCCACTCTCCTTGCTTCAGCCCTGGGGGCTCAGAAACTGCAGGCACTGACCTATAGATGTTCTGGTGAAATGTGTTGTAGGAGGCAAAGGTGAGAAGACCCCCGAAGCCCACACCCAGGGAGTAGAAGATTTGAAGAGCAGCTTCGATCCATACCTGTGCCAGGGAAGGAGGGCAGAGAGGAGGGGCTGGCACACAGGGCGTGCAGAGGGCAGGCAGGAGAAGCCAGGGCCAGGGCAAGGCCGGGGCACACAGTCCAGGCACAGTGTGGGGAGGCCAGGCTCATGAGCCCAGCTCTAGCACCTACACCACAGGACATGCACCAGCCCCTCCCCTCCCTGGAGTCAGTTTTCCTCCCTAGTCTAGCAACTGATCTCTAAGCTTGGTGCAGGCCATAAGAAAGTAGTGCCTAACATTCAAGCTCCCAGCAGATTCATTTGATAGTGAGCTCCTGCAAACCTTTATTTTCCTGCCTAGGGACAGAGAGACCTGGACAGGGATCCCAGTCCCACAGCTTTGTAGTTACACATCACTGCTCTGGACTGCAGGTTCCTTGCTGGTAATGGGGGAACAGGAATGATGCCTGCTTCATAAGGGGGGCAGTAAGAATTAAATCACTATTACTTAGCACAGTGTTAGAGCAGGCTCAGGCCCAGCCACGGGCCCATAAATAGTAAATGTTAGCTGTCAGTCCTATGCTATGAGCATTAGTATTAATGTCTTCCTGGGGTATGGAGTCCAACAGAACTGGATGGGAACCCCAACAAGGTGCTCTCTGACTGTGTGCCTTAAGCTTGTCATTCATTCTTTGTTAAACGTATTA